GCTGGCTTGGAAGTACAGTTACCAGATATAGCAAAGAAAAAGACAGAACACCTAGTTAAACTTGAATTTCAGATACTTAACGAATAATTTTCTAATAGAGGCATGTTGTAAATGATGCATGGAACATACTTGTATTAAAAAAAAATCATGCCTTGTTTATCTGAAACTCCCATTTAACTGGGAGTCCTGGCAGGGTTTCTGGCAGCCCTACAAGAACCAGAGCACCCTTCCAGCACAGGGCACACTCATAAGCACATGACGTTGTCTTTCCCTTGTATCTAAATTATTGTTGTATTTACCTTGAAGGTGTTCTCGGTTTGTGGTAAATGGTACTGACTTTCTGTGAAAGGAGTACCTTCCCCTCCCGTGAACCTCAGTTTCCCCATGTGGGAAGTGAAGGGGCTGGGCCAGACGATTTTCTGGGACCTATGGCCTGGATGTCTAGAAGTCTGTTCAGAGGCATCCCACAGTTCCGGAGCCTTTCTCCCCGTCCCCACCAGGGGGTGTCCTGACTCTCTTTGGCAGCCTCACAGGCAATGGCTGGGGAGGAAGCTGGTCCCTCTGGCTCCAGGGAACCTTGGGGAAACCAGGTTATGAGGCCTGCATGGCCCCAAGTCTTACTCCCAGGACAACCTGTTCAGACGAAGAGAGTCTCTGAAGATGAGACCATCTCACCTGGCTCCTCCTTTACCATAAAGTAGAAGTCAGAGTGAACACCTGGAGAGGTGAGGCGCTTGTTCAGGCTCACACACTGTCCAGGAAGCTGGACTCCCGAGTCATTGTCCAGGGCCTTGACTGCTGTAGGGAGCCCTATTGTTCTGTTTCCTGCGGGACATATTTAACCCCTGCAGTCCCGGTACCAGTGTAGACACCAGCAGCCCTGCACACCTTAGGACTGAAATGCACCTGGGGCCCTTCACAGAGACATTGTGGCCTCACAACCTCACGACCGAGAGCGGACAGGGGAAAAGGCACCGGGGAAAGAGCAGGCCCCTCACATTTAAGTTGGGATGATTATGATGATGGTGGTGGTAATGATGATGAGATGACCTTCCTTCTACGCTAGATACAACAACCCATGGGGCAAGGACCACGGTCATCAGGACTTTATTTTTTTAATATATTTTATTGATTTTTTTTTTTTTTTTTTTTTTTTAGAGAGAGGAAAAAGGGAGGAGAGAGAACCAGAAACATCAATGAGAGAGAAACACCAATCAGCTGCCTCCTGCGTACCCCCCACTGGGGATGTGCCTGCAACCAAAGCACATGCCCTCTACTGGAATTGAACCTGGAGCCCTTGAGTCCACAGGCCAATGCTCTGTCCACTGAGTCAAACCGGTCAGGGCTGAAATTAGGATTTTACAGGTGAGGAAACCAGCTCAGCGTTAGGTCATGGGACTAACGGGGCTCAATCTCATTCTGCTGCAGATGTTGGGAAGGAAGGAGGCTAGACCAGGGCCTAGATGGTCTCCAAAAGACCCTTCCCAACCCTCCACCCCCCACCCCCACTTTGTGGTGAAGAGGAATTGCTCAAAGGCAGGGGTGATTTGCGGGAAGGGGAGTTACAGATTAGGCATGAATTAGCATTGAATTCATCCTAATTCAGTTCTGTTTTGATTATCTGATTATCAAAGAGAAAGTCTCTTAGATTTGTTCTTTAAATATGTAACAGAACATCCTCATAATTGCATAGCATTGTCTTTCGATTGCATTTATATTTTTATTGTATTTTATCTTTAATGTTTTCTCGATTTGTGGTAAATGATACTGATTTTCCACTTAAAGTAACAATGCAGTTTCCTTTAATTTTTTTTTTTAAATAAGTGATTTGATTTAAAGGGAGGGAAAACACAGCTAGAAAGAGGATTCTGAGTTCTGAGGGCCCCTATTAATTCCGCTGATCAGTCTAGCCACAGCCAGCACAGGCACAGCCTTCCCCTACCCCATCACCACCACCCCCTCCCCCCAGAGCCCTGAGCTGATTCATGCTTCTTGCCTTTCTTTGATGCTGCCTTTTTCCTTGCAAACTCTGAGGAGCTCCTTAGAAGGAGGCATCTAGATATGGGGGGTGGGATGGAAGGAGAGGGGAAGCTCTGGGTTATAGTTCCCCCCTTCTCCATTTTTTATTGTCCCATTGCATAACCAAATCATTCGACTTCCCTGACCCTCAGTTTCCTCATCTGTAAGGTGGTGGCAAAGCTGTTGGAATAGTGGCTGCTGGGCATCGCAGGGGTGATCTGCCCTGGGCTACACCCTAAAATCCTCAGGACAGATGTCACAGTTCCCTCCTGACCTGAGGAGACACCCCGTTCAGTCCTTGTTCCCCATAGCTCTGTGCTTTGTGTTTCCATGCTTTCCATCTGAAGAGGTTGTTAATGGCAGCTCCAGGGACCACGCCCGGCTTGCTGACGAGAACATGGCCACGTCTAGCATACTCCAGGCACCTCATAAACATCATAGCATGAGTGCTAAGCCAACACTGACATTTACCTTATCTGTTTCTCTGCCTGCAGAGAGAGATAATCCCCGAGTTAGGAGACTGATTTGCATTCCACAAATGGCCAAGACCCAACTGGCCAGTCCCTCTCATTCCTCTCTCTCCTGTTGTGCAGGAAAAAAAAAAACACCAGAAAACAGCCTGATTTTTATGAGTTTGTATTATTTTAGTAATTTGAAAGCTATTTAAAATAAGAGGTGGGTAGAAACACCTGAAGACCCACTGTGTGATCCCGCAATGGAGCACACATCTTGGGCCTGTCTCTCTAAGGGGAGTCGGGACACCACCTTGAAAAATCACATCATGGCGTGCAAGATGTGATTTATCTTTAAGGCTTTGATAAGTGCTCTGCGGATTTATGCATTATCGTTCCAGAATCAGTGTTTTCTGAAAGCAAATTTTAATCCCAACCCTTCCCTGGCTTAACAGCCTCCAAAGACTTCCATTGCACAAAAAAATAAAATCCAAACTCCTTACCACAGCCTACGCGGCTGCCTGGTTTGGCCTCCGCCCACCTCTTGCTTCACCCGGTATGACCTACTCCTCATATTTTGTGCACCGGTCACGCTGGCTTGAGACTCATCTCACTCCACTTCTACCTCAAAGCCTGTGCACTGTGCTGTTCCCTCTGCCTGGAATGCTTTTCCCCTCCCTTTTCCCTTTCCCCACCCCCACCTCCTATACTCAATCCCCTTCTTTTCTTTTGTGACTCAGATTTTCTCAAGGAATCTTCCCAGACGTCCTAAGAATAGCCATATCCAATAGAATTCCCAGCAATGATGAAAAAGGCCTAAATCTGCCCTGCTCAGGAAGGCAACCACTAACCATCTGTGGCTGTTGGTACTTCACATGTCTAGTGTGACCAAGAAGCTATATTTTTAATTAATTCAAATTTCAATGTAAATAGCCACCCATGGATAATTAGTAGGTTCATCATGATTCCAGAAAAATCTGTGCTCTACTGTTACACTCATGGTTTCTTATATTCCTTCCTGGTACCTACCACAGCTTGTAATTTATATTTAGTTGTGCAGTTGTTTAATCTATTCCTCGATAAACTGTGTGTTTCAGATGAACAAATGCTTTGTCTGCATTGCCCACATTTGGGACCTAGTACCTAGTAGGTTCGTTATAAACACTTGTTGAATAATGGATGGATGGATGGATGGATGGATGGATGGATGGACAACTACGTAATGAAAGGAGATAGTTGCATAGCTTGGTGTTTCTGAAAATGAAGTGCAATAACAAAAAGAGTTAGCCCACAAGTCATAACAAAAAGACAAATTTGTGCTTATAGGAACCATACATTCCCTGTGCATAAATAAGCCTCTGGTGTGTACAGGTGTGTGTTCAAAAGCATAAGTGTGTTTGCAGAAGTTTGCATTTGTGTAGCTGTACGCACAAACACCTATGTCCACGGGTCTGCATGTCAGGGTGGCGAGGTGACTGAGGCACAGACACAATCACTCCGGAAGGCAGTTTCTAAGTCATCACTTTTATTTTGGAAGATTTGTCAAACTCCCCGCATCGCGGCAGGAGTCTGCATGATTAATAAGAAGCAGCTTTTTCATGAAATGCTTGGAGGTGGAGTTCTCAGCCTGTGAGATCTGGCCATCCTATTGACCTTGAAGTTTCTCTTGGTTAGTAGATGGGAAACGGGGAAGGAGAGAAGAGGAGAAACATGCTAGGAACCAAGGGAAAGACCCCTCATCCAAAAAATGAAAAGGGATTAAAAAAAAAATTTTTTTTTTAAACTCCGAAAACAAAACCAATTCACTAACTCCACTTTTTCTATTTTCCAACTTTCTACACCTCACTTCTGCTCTTGGCTTTCCTGGCTGAACAGCATCCTATGAAATGGCACCGAAATATGAGGGGAGTGGTGAGGAGCTGGGTTTGAGTGAGAGCTTACATGCTTTCAAACACAGCCCCGGGCTCTCCCTGCACAGCCCCGGGAAAGCAAGACTGGTTATCTGCTGTTCCGTAGGTGGGTTTCCAGGATTCCCCCACCCCTGGTCCTCCAGGCCCAGAAACATTCCTGCCAATGCCATGTATCTGTTACTTCCCTTTGCCACCTTCAGGCCGCGCGGGGAAGACCCCCACCCACCCCACCGGCAGCCAACACCCTGAAATAAAATGAACACAGAATCTGATTGGTGAGCATGAGTTTGAGCAGAGAACTCAAGAGCAAATCTGAAGATGCAATATGTGTGGAAGGCAGATGTGAACAAAAAAAGTCCCCACCCTTTTGCCACTAAGACAACGGGCAGAGAAAAACGGGACCGTTAGTGGGTGAGCAAGAGGCAGAGTTACCGCTAAGAATGTCATGATTTGGGTTACAATTTCCATTTTTAGCACCGTTAATGTGTTCAGTTACGTCTATATTAGCACCTTGTCCCCAGGCAGAACAATAAACCATCCAAACATTTTAAACTTTGGGGGGAAAGGGGAGGGGAAGGTTAAAGAGAGAGGATCTGGTCCTGCGGGAGGAGGTGTGGACTTAGATCACCAGATCCTTGTCGATATCCTCTGCAAACAAGAAGAGAGAGCTGCGTTAGACACCAGGCCTGTGGGCACAAGGCATGTTTCCCCGAGGAGTCAGGGATCCCCCATCCCCAGGACCAGGGGCCAGCTGACCTCCCAAGGTCACCCAGGAAGGCGGTGACTGAGCACGCTACTCTCCCTGTCCCTGTTGCTTACACACATGCCACGATATGTTTCCTCTTTCCCCTCTAGGTACCTGCCAGTTCCCCAAAAAGACGAGGCAGAGTGAGCGCTAATGCTAATGCTCCAAGAAGGGAGAAAGAGACCGCCCGCCCGCCCAGTAGTCAGGAAGCAGTGAGAGAGCGAGGCTCACCCCACAGGGAGAGCAGACAGGAGTTAACTCAGCGGGGAGCAGAGCTGGGCAGAGGACAGAAACACAGATGACAGAAGCGAAAGGAGGGAGGCGGGGGCCAGCAGCCCCGCTGCTCAGACACTCACTCTCCTTGATGCCGAAGCAGCGGGCCCACTCGTCCAGAGCGATGTACTTGTCGTTGTCCAGGTCACAGGTCTCGAAAAAGCGGGTGGTGCAGTGCTCCATGGGGATGAGGGGTGCACGCAGCGGGGCCAGCTCGGTGTGGGACAGGTACCTGCAGGGGGTGGGGAGGAAGGAGGTGGGAAGGGCCTTAGGCGTGAGAAAGCTACTGGTCTGCTGTGGGACTTAGAGAGTAGCACTGCCCCGCCTGAGCCTCAGTTTCCCCTCCATCAGAAGGGGAAGCATTAACCACGATGCCTGAGGGTCCTTCCAGTTTTGAGGGCTCATAACAAAGGTCTCTTGGTGCGTTTGTTTCCTCATTGGCTAAGAATGGGGGGCACAGAAACTTCAGATGAAAATTTTAGCACCTCTGCTATCGGTAGATCAAAATCTGGCATGAAGCCACACCTGTTTCCTAGGGACACACATTCTTACAGCTGCAAATGCCCAGAAAGGGTCTAAAAAGAGCCATCGAACTGATGACAGTGCTGACTTCCGGGGAGGAGCGTGGGAAGGGACTGGGACTGGCAGTGAGGGCCAAAGGGCCTCTAACCTTCCCCACAGAGCTTTAGTGTGTTTATATAGGATGTAACTGTGAGAGGAGGCCTTCTGGCTCTCACCCCTGTCCCGTCCCTCTTCCTCCCGCTCGGCCTTGACTCTAGAGCTCATGTAGGATTTCCCCTTGTCCCTCAGAGCCCTCAGCTGGTTGTCCTCAGAACACTCTTCCCAAGGGGCTGCGACGTGACTCCAGTTTTCTCTCCAATTTCCATACCCTCACCGCCCCACCCAACTCACAGAAGGAACCGCATTTGATCTGGAAGGAACCCCTTCCTTTTGTTGTGTACCAGCGGGAAAACTGAGGCCCAGGGAAGGGTAGGGTCCCGGGCAAATCACCCCACCACTCTGCAGCTCCGGGATAAGAAGAGGGGAGGCTGGGCCCCTGGCCCAGGCTGGTTCGCTCTTCCAGATGCAAGTCCCTTGCAGCCCCACCCAGACACCTCCCTCATGGCCCCTTCCCTGTGGTGGGATCCAGTCGCTCTGCCCCGAGCTCCAGATGTTCCCCTGACTTTTCCCCTCCCTCCCACGGGGAGGGACACAGTCAGATCCCAGCCACGGGAAGAGCCTGGGAGAGAAGCAGCGGGGAGTTCCCAGAGCTCAGGACACTCCAGCCATGGAGATCACCAGCAAGGCGGGCAGGCTCCGGGCACAAGGTCTGGAGTCTGGCCTTCCTTCCCTGGAGGAATGTACACCCAAGGCCAGCACTCACAGGGCTGAGGGAGGACTATCAGGCTCCGCTGTCTTCCGCCTCTCCTGGCTTAAGGAGTGTGTCTTGCTTTCTCTCCTGCTGTCCTCCTCACCCCTTTTCTCCCCCACCCCCCCTGTTCTGTATCCTTTCTCAGGACGCCTCTCCTTCCTTCCCCAGCCCCAGGACACCCTGTGGGCTCCAGGGCTGGGAGCATCAGAGGAGGCTGAGAGGGTTGTGGGCCGGACCGAGTGCACCTGCCAGTTCTGGCCCATGCCTGTGCACTCCGGGGCCAGGGCGGCCCGCCCTCTGTGCTCCTGGGGCCTGGCCTTACCCGTCAATGGGGTGCTGGTCCAGCTGGCCAAACTGCCAGTGCACAGGGAAGATGTACATGTTGTAGTTCTTCTCGAAGTCCCGGGCCAGCAGCTCCACGGGGTGGTCTCCAGCCTCCAGGCGCTTCTCATTCTCGTGGATCTTCTTCACCTGTGGGGGCAGAGAAACTGTGCGACACTGTCCGAGCCAGGCAGGGTCCCCTCCCACCTCACAGGAGGCCAGAGCAGGTAGAAATCGGCCAAGACCAGGGTTCAAAAAGAGGGAAGTGGCATAGATGGGGTATCAGCATCTCATCCACGAAGGTGGGGTCCTGGGTGATCTCCAAGGGTTCTACACCACAGAGTCGCCGATCCAGGAGGCCCGGGCCCGGGAATCTGCATTTTGTCAAGACTCCCCTCTTTCTCCCCCCCATTAAAGTTTGAGAGCCACAGACCAGAAGGAAAAAGTACTAGGCTTGTCTGTGTCTCTTGTTGAACAGTGAGCTAAACCAAGTGAGCAGCAGGTCTCTTCACTACAGGACTTCTCAGAGCCTTTAAGGTGGGACTGTGCACAATGAGACTCCACAGGCAGCGAGGAAAAGTCTGTGTCAGCGCCCAGAATGAGGCACCTGTCAGAGCAGGGACCTGGGGGCCTAGCTCTGGGACTGGGACTGTGGATCTCGGACAGGCTGGGGCCAGCTCAGGGCCAGGCAGGTTCCCTGGAAACAGACCACCTACCCGCAGCTTCTGCTTCTCGGTCAGGAGGTTGTTGTCCTCGTCCCTCTCGTACAGTGTGACCAGGACATTCTTGAGCCAGTCCCGCATGCGCAGGGGGAATTCGGTCAGCTCAGAGTCCAGGCAGGGGGCGATGTCTAGGGTCCAAAATACCAAGTGGTCAGCAGAGACCCCAACTCTCCCTGCCTGGGGCCCACAGGCTGGCTGGGCCTCTCTCCCCACCTCACGCCTTCATCCTACCGCCACTTCTAAAAGTGACCTTGGCACAGTGACTCAGCCTCTCTGGGTCACAGTTTCTTTTTTCTTTTCTTTTTTAATATATTTTATTGAGAGGAAGGGAGAGGGATAGAGAGTTAGAAACATTGATGAGAAACATTGATCAGCTGCCACCTGTACCCTCACCACTAGGGATGTGCCCGCAACCGAGGGCACATACCCAAACCTGGGACCCTTGAGTCTGCAGGCCAATGCTCTAACCACTAAGCAAAATCAGTCAGGGCGAGGGTCACAGTTTCTTTATACCACATGAGCAAAGATCGGATGTGGGGAAGAATGCTCTGCAAACAGAAAAGCTCAAAGGCATGTCTGCTGCTCAGTTTTGACCTTGTCCTTCACCCGCTGAGGGTAATGGCTCACTCCAGTGGCTCCTGCACCTTTCTGAGTGTTGGGCCTAGGACCCAGGCTGGTGATGTCAACTATTGGGAGGTGTTTGAAGAGTAACATGTGTCCAGAGGCTATGCTTAGCAGCGGTGGGGGGAGTGGGGTATCAGGACTGTTTAACCACCAGAACATAAGTGATAATTATTCCATCCTGGTCTTCGGAACTTAGACTCCCAGAATGTTGCAGCTGGAGATTTCATCAAAGTCTCCCCTCTTACGGGACTTATTAGTGGTTTGCACGGAGAGAAGGGACTTGCTCAAGGCCACATTGTCAGAGCCTCTTCCAGCATCCAAAGCATGTGGTTGCCTGGGGCGCAGGGGTCTGACTTTCCCTTTTCCTTGGACCTCTGGAGAGTCCCTCGGTGGTTAGGACCACTGTCTCCTCCCCAACAGCTGGGGATGGAAGAGGAGCTCGGTGATAGAAACACCGGGAGTTGGAGCGAGTGAGCAGCAGGCCCCAGAGAACAGCAGGAACCATGTGGTGAGAGGCTCCTTGGCACACTCCTCAGTCTCACTGCCCAAAACTCCTACCAACATCCCCCCTTGTTTCAGGCCTGTGCCTTCTCACGCCTCACGCTGGGCCCCACAACTGGAGAGGTGGGCCGACCACGGGAGAGCCTGGGTTTCCCCTCCGCCTTTCTGCATTCTGCACACTTGAGGCAGGGGCGGGGCTCTCTCCAGGGCCATCTGGGGCCAGAATGTACAGACACACGCACGGCGTGGATGTTGTCTTGGCCAGAGAGCAGATGTGGCCTTGGGTGTTTCAAATGATAGGGAAGCTGCCAACACCGAAGGAGGCACTGAGCCAGCTGAACCTGCAGCTGGCATCACTGACAGGAAGCCAGACAACACCCTGGCACTTCTTCCCCAGACACCTGATTCCCAGGTTCCTAGAACAGGGCAGTTAATCATGTGTCTGAAGCGGGCGGATAGGAATATAATGGGATAAGAAGGCCAAGGATTTGACAATACTTAGTAAAGGGGAAATTGACAGGCATACCTCTAGGTTAAAGCATTCAATATTTTAAAAACACTTTATAGTACCAGGTGGGACCTCATCTTTACTGTACAATGTTGAAGCAGGAAAGACTTGGGTTAGCCCTGGAGAAGAATTTCCTCATCATTGGAGAAAACACATTCTCCCTGCTCTTGTGCTTTCACAACTGCCCAGTGGTTCCCCGGCGATGTCCTGAATGCAGAGCTGAGAGGAACCTACTCAGGGACAATCGTCTCATTTTATAAACGGAAACCCCGAGGCTCAGAGAGGGGAGATTTGCCTGAGATCTCACAGCACAGGGGTGGCAGTGTCAATACCAATGCCAGTTCAGTGCTCTCTCCCCCAATGGAGGCTGGAGGGCCCCAGGAGACTCACATTTGCAGGGTCCAATGTAGTCCAGGTGGAGTTTGTGGCCCTTCTTGGTGCCCTCCAGGGTGCACTTGGTGGCAAAGAAGTGGCAGGAAGAGTCGAAGGTCTTGTTGTCGTTGCTGCACACCTGGTGGCAAAGCATAGAGCATCTCACTTTCATTCCCAAAGCCCTTCTCGGGTACCACCCTCCTCGCCTATCTCAGAGATGGGGACACTGAAGGCCAGCTAGGAATGCAATTAGTCCAAGGTCATACAGAGAGCTAATGGTGCGGCTGCGACAAGAATTCAGTGGCTGAGTGGTTGAGTGTCGACCTGTGAACCTAGGGGTCACAGTTCGATTTCCCATCAGGGCACATGCCCGGGTTGTAGACTTGATCCCCAGTGTGAGGTGTGTAGGAGGCAGCTAATCAATGATTCAGCATGGGTTTCTATCTCTCCCTGTCCCTTCCTCTCTGAAATCATATATACATATATTTATTATATATATCTATTATATATATTTATTATTTATTTATTTATTTAAAGAACCCAGTCTTTGGCATCCCAGGCCAATATTCAGGCCATGTTGAGAGCCACAGTTGGTCTCTGAGCAGAGGCACAACTGAGTCAGGGCTGAGATATGAGAAAACTGGAGGATGTGGATGGGTGAATTAAAGCGGGAGATGGCAAAAGGCAGAGTGTGCAGAAGCATTAACCCAGGAGGCTTTGGAGACTGGAGCTGCTCAGTAGAACCAGCAAGCCTACAGGTAGCTGGGCAGACCCTGTGTGTTGGGAAGGGCCCAATCCCCGGCCCCGCCTCACCCCTCAGTGCTCACCTTTTCAAACTCGCCAATGGGGGCGGGGCAGCTGGTGGGGTCCTGGCACACGCACATGGGGGTGTTGCTCTCGTCCAGCTCACACACCTTGCCGTGCTTGCAGTGGTGATTCTGGCAGGGGTCTGGGAGGGCAGGGCATGCAGTCACACCACCCGGCCTGGCCCACCCTCCCCACCCCTGGCCTGTGCCCTCCACCCTGGGCTTTGGGCAGCTGAGCCTCCCCTCTCTTCTGCGGAGCCCATGGTTGGCATTTAGGGGAGCAGATAGCTCAGTCTTGGGGTAAGAGACTCAGTCTGAGATCATGTTCAGGCACTGCTTGGGGTGCTGTAGGCTCAGTCTAGGGCCCCGGGATGCCATATGGGGACCGGAGCAAGCAGTGTGTTCTGAGCTCTCGGGTGATCGATCAGGGAGGCATTTTTGGATTCTAGAATAGACTTTCTAGAACGATGGGAGAATGTCAACAATCATGGAGCCAGGAAGCTTCGAGGCCCAACAAAAACAGCCAAAGAAGCTGCAGAGGAAAAGGGAGAAGGGCCCGAGGCTATGGAGAACAATGGGGCCGCCGAGCCTGGTAAACACCGGATGAGGTGGACGTGGAGGGGAGGGAACAGGATTCAATGGACGCCCCTGTGTCCAGCAAAGCTCCGTGCCCTCAGGATGAGAGCGCGTCCAGCCTTTCCTCCTGACGCTGGACTTGGGGATTTTAGTCATTTCTTAGACGCCTGCTCTGCGGGACACTGGGCCACGTGCTCTTATGCCCATCCTCCACAGCCCCGGGCCGAGGAGCTGCCCTCTGCATCATTTCCTGTTAGGGCTGGCGAAGCCGGGCCAGGAGCTAAGCAAGCAGTCCGTCCGAGGGTGCTCGCAGACGGGCCAAGTCGAAATGCACAAGTGGGTGGTTTTGCCTGCCAAGTCCACGTTGGAGATGGAGATGTTAGTTTGGTGGCCTGGAGCCAGCAGCCCTAGCTCTCTCTCTCTTTCTCTAACTCCATGGACAGCACCAGATACGTTAGGCCAGGGATCCAGGCCTCGGGGCTGCGTGAAAATCACGTAAGCTAAGGAGTATGGAAGGTGTGCTCAGGTGTGCTCCTGTGTGGGGCCTGGGCTCAAGTAGAGGCCATTGCAGAGCTGGGGGACCAGTGACCCAGTGAGAGTGCGAACCCCCTCTGGAATCAGGGAGCAGCCGTTTCCAGCTGAGGACCTCCCTTCCTGCCGCTCCCAGCATGGACAGCCTGGCTGCATAGGCCTTTCCCGGATTCCTGAGAATATTCCCAACCTTTAAGTCAAAACTGTTTCTCCTCCACAGCCTGCCCTGGAGGGAGGACCCACCCCCCTCCCTACACACACACACACACACACACACACACACACACACACACACATACACACACGCATTTCCCTAAAAAGGAACCTCATGTGGGCTGTCCCCACGCCCAGGCAGCGGAGGGCAAAACATGGAGAAGAGACCTACTTTCAGCCACCACCTCCTCCTCAGCTTCCTCAGCACCTTCCTCAAATTCTCCTACTTCCACCTGGACGGGGTTGATTCCCACGGGGACCTGGTTTGGAGGGAGAAAAAGGAGACCATTGGCCCCACCCCAGACCTTGAAGAAAGGGCTGCAGGCTGGAAGGGTCTTGGCGGAAGCTTTAGTTCCCACAGGGGATGGTGAGATGACAAGCCGGAGAGCTGTGCTGGGCCCAGGTCACCAAGCACCAATGCCAGCTCCAGAATTTAGACCTAATCTCACCGCCCCCTTGTGCTGGCTGTGCCCTGGATTCTATCCAGAGGCATCCGGGGACCACCACCAGGGGTATTAGGGCAAAAGGCAGTGCCAAGCCCTCTACCCCTGCCAGCAACACAGGCAGCTCCCCTTCTGAAGGCTGGATGTATGGGGAGACTGGGTGATCATCTAAGAAAAATGGTCTCACAGCTTCAGAAATAAAAGCTTTCAAAATTATAGCTCCCCCTGCAGGGTTCCACTGATGTTTGGGAAGCATCCGAGAGGCTGTTGAGATTAGAGGATGTATAGGGTTTCCATCTGTGCTGTGTGCACGTGGGGTACAAGCACCCCGAATCAGCAGGAGACTCGCCGAGCCAGTCTGGGTTCTGGAGGGAAAGCACATGGAGCAGGGAGGGGCGGGAGCCACCACCCACCTACCTCGGACACCTCAGCCACTGTTTCCTCCACCACCTCTGTCTCATCAGGCAGGGCTTCCTGCTGCTGCTGCTGGGAAGAGAAAATGGGGTTCACAGAGGTCAAGGCCAAGGCCAGCTTTGCCTCTGCACTGCTTCCAGCCTGGAGCACTGAAGCTGGGAACAGCTCATGGGAGATTTCCCAGGCCGTGCCTAAGGGACTGCCTGGGTGGGACAACCTGGCAAAGGAGAAGCCAGACACAGACACCATGGCACTCCGAGCGCCTCCTGGTTATGCCATCCATCTGAAGTCTCTGTATGGCTTTGGTTTGGAACGCATTCCCACTGCTTCAACTCCAAAAAAGTCCGCAAACCACAGGGGCAGAGCAGATGGGGAAGCAGACCCGAGGGGATGGAGGGCACCGTGGGTCTACACAGATGTCACTCTCTTCCCCACGTGTGTGATGTGATTGTGGTGATTATTAGGCAATTCCTTCTTGCCATGTCAACGAGGAATAGGCAAAAATAAGATAACGACTTGGAGACCGCTAGCTGGCTGGGGCTGCTTCTAAAAAGAATGTTAACCTTGTCAAAAATGTTTGCCAAAATCTACCCACCCAGTCAGGATTGCCAGGGTCTGCCATCACTCATGACGAGAGGATAAGAGAATCGTGGGTTGAAAGAAGCTATTCCCTCTGCCTGCCCACCTTTCTTCACCCCTCCTCTGGCCAAGGCTTCCCATGTAGCTTTGGGCAGCCACCCTGGCCCTCTGCATGGTTCTCGGAGGGACCGTGTTAGTCAAGGGACCCTGCCCGCATCCCCTTGGCCAGGACAGACCCAGGACCTGAACTCAGCTGGACTGGTGCTCCTTTTTTAATCTTTTTGGCACATTCTCTCAAAAAGTGAAAACTGTTGGAGATCTATTCAGATGGCAACCTCTCCGAGACTGTCCATTAGTTCTTACCTCCCAGTCCTGGAACTTCCTTTATCTACTCCTCCCCACGGCCTTTGATTTTATAATCTACCTCTGTGTTCTCTTCCCCCCTAATTTAGTCAGATTGCAGCCTGCTGCTTGCAAACAAAGAGCTCTCAGGGATCCAGAAACTGACCCATCCCCCTCCCTGTGGCTGGACCCTAAGCACCGCTCCCCCTCAGCCAGAACTGCTCAGGTGGCACAGTGGTCTCCACCTTTTAAAGCAGTCCTAGCCTGCTTCTGAGAAACTCTGCTAAAAAGCTCATTTTATTACACGGAAATCTCTTTTCTCCAAAATCTACACCTAGTGGCCTTCATTGCAAGTTTTATCCTGAGCCCATTAAAAAATATTTTAAAAATATAAAACCAATAGCTTGAGATGAGGGAAGTCCCTGTGCCCTCTGAGCATCCAGGCCTGGCAGGTTCGATGGCCCTGAGCTGGTGGCGGGAGGTGAGACCACGCAGAGATGCTCTCCGGTTACTTACAGGGGCTGCCAAGGCCCTGCCGGCCAGGCAAAGCAGAAAGAAGATCCACGCCTTCATGGTGCCGGGAACCCTGCAGGGGGAGAGAGAGCTCAGTGAGTAGGCTCCTTCTATTGCTGAATTCCAGAGGCATACAATATAACTTATTATTATTTTTAAGTTTTTATTTATTGATTTTTAGAGAGAGGGAAAGGAACACAAGCCAACTGAGCTGCCCAGCCAGGCCTACAAGAGAATTTTAGGTGGGCATGTTCTATGATAGCGAAAGACGTGGAAAAAGCTGCTTCTGCTCAGTTCTCTTTCCACGCCGATTACATGGGAGCGTCTTAGTTGATGCTGAGGCACCTTTAGCACCTAACACTCATCTACCTTCCTTTTGACCAGAGAGCAGGCCCTGGCTCAGAGCCTCCACGGGAAACTATTTCCAGTTGGAATTCAACCAATTGTTTTGTCTTCCTTGTATGTATTTTTTATAGCTTCCTTTTACTATGACAAAGGTACATAGACTTTTCCATTTATAGTAATGCTACAAAGTCTCCCTTCTCAGTACACTTATTTGAAGTTTTTAAAAGGTGATCAGGAAGATAACTGGCCAGTTTGCCAAGTCTGAACAATGTTAAGACAGATCCTGTCCAAGGGGCCTTCAGTTCTAGAATTAGTCTCCTGTCTCCTCCTCTCCCTCTTCCTCCCACCCCCACCCCCTTCCCCTCTGCAATGGGAGAAGTTAGCAGACCACAACCTCTTGCCAATTTGCCTTTTTGAGACAATGAGGTCTACCCTGTAAAACAAAGAACAATAGTGTTGGGCCTGTTGCATGTGAGGGTGGCCACACTCTTCTCCACTCTCCCCAGAAGGGGCAGTTTTCCTCCGGGTCCTGTGGAGAGACTGTCCAAATGCGAACATGTGCTGTGTGTTCTCTTCCCTTTTCACGGCTGAAGGGTGTGCGTTGGATCTAGGAAGCTCTCCTGCCCTGGTCACTGCTAAGACCTCACCCCTTCGATGCTGAACTCTGGACTCTCATGACTGGTAGGATCTGGAAGCAGGACCCCCTCCGGGGATTCCATGCCAACTGTGCCATCCCTAACAGAGGGTCCGTGGTGAAGACATTCTGTTTCTTGTTCTCACTAAATGTGCTTCCATTTTCAGACTCTTCCTCAGATTGATCTAAATTCGACTCACCCAGGCTTCTTCTGATCACCCAGGCCTCTTCCCCCTCCTGTGGCCAAACAGAGCAAGCACAGCCCCTCGGCTCCCAAACCACGCTTAGGCAAGGGGAGTGGTTGCCCTGTCTTCCCTCTGTCGTCCCCCCCATAACCTTCAGACCAGGCTTATCATCCCTGGTTCTTTCCAAGGCCTCTCAGCTGGCCAAGCACCTTGGAGGTGTGCAAAAACCACTCGGCTCGGAATCAAATTCCAGGGGTTCTTATTCTATCTCAATGGTGTTTTGGTGACTTGGCAAAGCCCTCCATTCTCTCTAGGCCTTGTGGCCCACTTCCTTTAGTTGAGAACGTTGGACTAGGTGAGCTTGGAGGTGCCAGCTAGGCCTTACAATGCCACAGGCACACGCTGGCATGGTACCCAGTATCAGCTCCGGCACCAGCATCTTCACTTGGACTCGAGGACAGTGTGTGAGTTGCAGAAGCAGGCAGGAGACAGCAGAGTCCCTAACGCTCCTTTGTTAGATTAAAATAAACACAAATCTCGCCTCCCACTTCCTGGGGTGTGCATCATAGAAAACTAACAAAAATGTAAAGGAATGGGCCAGGGGGCTTGGCTCTGCTTCACCGAGGCCCTGACTCCCAGGGAAGTCCCGTCTTCCCTTTCCAGGCAATTTTGGGAGGGTTCCCTCGGCACACAGTTGTAGGCTTGTTCCTCCAGGCCTACGGGTGGAAAACCTCCCTTCTGGCCTCCCCATTTGGAAGACACAAGTCAAACACCTCCTGCATGTGGCTTCTGACGGACGGCGCTGAGAGAAAGCGTCAATGAGGGACTTGTCTGAGGCTGTCTGAAGTTGAAGGCCAACGTGAGGCTGTGGCGAGGGCAAAAGAGGCACCGTGTCTGGGCCGCAGTGACAGAGAGGTGCGGTCCCTGGAGACAGAGCTCAGCCAGGGCTGGAAATGCAATAAGCTTGGGTCGGAAAGGCAGGAAGACTGGTCTCCAGAGTCCGTGTGCTTTGTCAGAGCGGAGGAACCCTGCTACCTCTCCGACCAGAGAAGGGCTGGGGGCGGGCTCGGCCACCTGTCCTGCCCCATCACCTCCTGCACTTTCCCAGTGGCACACACACCCTCTCTGCCTCCTCCGTGCCCGGCTTCGCAGCCAGAAGAGAAAAGAATTCCAAATCCCGCTGTGCTTTATAGCAAAGGCCTCAGTTACATGCTGTCCCCTCAGAGCCTCTGACACACGACAGGCAGACGGGTATGAGGGGGTCCTAGGAGCACTCTCTCGGTAGGGAGGCTGCGGTCGAGAGAGAGGAATTCATGTGACATCCAGGTCAAGGCATTGGGGGGCCTGATAGGGATGATGTTCTGAGATTGGTGTAGACGTAGGGGAGGAATTCAGGAAGTGAAAGCATTAAGAAAAGGACCCAGCCTGGCAGGAGTGGCTCAGTGGTTGAGCATCGACCTATGAACCAGGAGGTCACTGGTTCAGTCCCCAGTAGGGGTGCACAGGAGGCACCCGATCAATGATCCTCTTATCATTGATGTTCCTGTCTCTCCCTTTCTCTTCCTCTCTGAAATCAATAAAAAATCTATTTCAAAAAAGAAAAGGACCCCAAATCTTGGAGGACGAGTTGTTTTCCAAATGATGGGCCCCGCTTAGCGCCACATCACCAGTCCCAGGTGATGGGACCGAGGGAAGGGGAGCAGCCGGGCTGTTGTTGTTCTTGCACAGCTGCTCACCCCCTCCCTCCCAAGAGCTATGCAGTCCATCTTCCAGGTTCTCTCAGGCACCACTGGCCAGCGAGGCCAGGTGCCCATCCCGCAGAGCTCATGGACAGTAACCTCAGCAAAGCCAGGACACAGGGTCCAACCCCGACATTCAGCCTCTCAGCTGTGCACACCTCCTTTTGAGAATCCAACCTAGGCCTGGTGAAAATACATACACCTTCCTATAAACGACCAGTGTTCAATGAAAACGCCCTCCTGTGTGTCTCCTGAGTTAGTGATGATGCCTATGTTTACCTTTTCGAAATTGTTTTCACAATCCAGCATCCCACTGGGGCCTCATGACCAGTCTTTCCACCCTATGGCACAGGTGAGGAAACTGAGGCCCCGGGAGGGGTGAGCCTGCCAAGAGCCCCAGGTAGTGAGTGGCGGGGCTGAGTGAGGCCTCATGGCCCCACTGCATCTCTGGCTGCCCTCCACCTCAGTTTCCCTTGGCGGTCACTCCTTCCCAGGTGTCCACCTGAATGGGGCCCAGCTGGGCTGTGAACTGGCCGAGGGGCAGGAGGAAAGGTGGCCCAGCCAGAAGAGGAAGAGGAGGTGTTTCCCTTGGCTGAGTGGTCATCAAATGCAGACTCGGCTCTCCCCACCCCACCGCGGCCGCCACCTCCGGTTCGGTACATCAAGTCCCTTCCTTTGCCTTTATTTGCTCTGGAGATGGCTGAGAACCCGACCCTGGCTGCCAGCGGGACCCGAGGCTGAGGTCACTTCTCTCTCTGAAAGGATGCTGGGGATGGAAAAGTACAGCCAGCCCCCCACTCATCCCCCTCACACATAAAGGGCTTCCTCCGGGTCTCCCTGGACGCCAAGGAGTGGCTGAACATCAGAACTCGGGGGAATCTCAGAGTCATCGAATTTTGGAGATGGAACGTCCAGGTTCAAATCCTGGCCCTGCTACTTAGCAGTTGCATGACCTTCGAAGGGTGACCTTCACTCTCTGGGCCTCAATGCACCTCTCCATCTGTAAAACGGAAGTAACTCACCTATTACCTTAGGAAACTCACGGATGATACACATGAGGGAATTCGTAGCTTAATGTCATTTGGAAGAGCATCTTAGAACCCAAGGATCCCAGAGTCTCCATCCCCCCAGAGAATGCAGGGCAGGAATCCCAGCGCTTTGTGGCCAGGGAGAAAGGCAGTCAGAGTGGAACAAAGGAGACATTGCACCACTGGGTCCCGGGGAAACCGGCCCCGCCTCCAGGCTGGCCTCTCAGCTGGGCCGCTGACGCAAAATGAGCATCTCGCTCCCACTGTTTGGCTTGGAAACAAGGCTTCCCAAAACACACGTTCGTGGTAAACAAGCCCAAAGAGAGGAAAACAAGTCGAGAGGCTAAAAAGGAACCCGTGAGCCAGGCCTGCCAGGGAGCTGGGACTTGGAAAGAGGGCCGGGCCATGCCGGAGAGGCGCCACGGCGGCCCGTGAGGCCACCCCGGCACTCGCAGGTTGGGAGACGCACAGCCACTGGAGTCCTGAGATGGAGTCTTGACAATATGGCCCAGCTCACCGTGCAAACGCCTGTCATCTCTGGACCTCACCAACCCACCCATCTGCACAAGGAGGAGGTTGTTTAGATCCGTGGTGTTCAGAATTATGGTTGCCAGGGGACCCTTCCTCTCAGGGACATCTTCTGCGGAAGTCCAACATATGAAACAGCTAAAACCCTTCTGCATTTGTTGAAACATGTGAATGTATTGTTATCTATTCAATAAACCAGCTTGAAATTAGAACACAAAAGCTAGTAAGCGTGAAGTGGAGATAGGGCTGGAAGCCCTGCACACTCGGACACGTGCCTGGGTGCCTAGGAACACACTTTGAAAACCCTGGAGCAAGGTGGTCCCTACGGTTCCTGACTTCTGAGTCAACTCAGGCAGCTGGTTAGGAACATCGCCTCTCCCAACTTGCCCCTCAACTCGGCTTCCACTCCTAATATTTCTTGCTGGAAGGGAAGAAGGCAGGGGAAATCTTAGGGTGTTATAGGTGCTCAAGCTTAGGATTAAAGAGGTTCTGAGGCAACTCAGAAATAGCCCCAGCAGCCGGGACCGGTTTGGCTCAGTGGATAGAGCGTCAACCTGCAGACTGAAAGGTCCCAGGTTCGATTCCGGTCAAGGGCATGTAC